CAATGGGGAGTGGCAAATGAAGCTTTGCTCGCTCACCCGCCGCTCATGTCCTGCTGTGCGGCCCAGTTCATAACAGGCTACGGACCAGTATCAGTCCATGGCCCAGGGGTTGGGGACCCCTGCTCTAATTGTCATGTGTCTAGTACAAATGACAAAATAATGTTACAACTTTTGCTTTCTTTTAAAGAAATTAACAAGAAAAAAATGGTATTTTATATTTGCCTATTTAACCATTTCTCATGCTTTTTAGTCAAATCTGCACCACTTCTCAAAACTTGAGGATTACCAAAGTGCACCACTGTCCTCTAATGTGGATGAATATAAATTTCATATTAAGACTGTTTCTCACCTTCCTCATTAACTCATGACAAGTAAAGAAATATCACTTGGCACCAACATGCTTGTAAATTAAAACACAAACTTAAGCAATAAACCAGGTAGCAGTACTGATTATAAGGTAAGTTGGTTATAAGATGTTTTTGTTTTTCACACTATCAATTGCAATTTTTAAAAAATGCTAAATATAAAAATCTTGTTGAAAATTCTCTGTCCAAACCCTGAACATCTCTACAATATTAAAAAAACAGGAAATATTTTCAACTCATTTTTAAGAGTACCTCAATTTCTCTTCAAAGTAAACATGAAAGGTTATATAAGGCGTAACTATATACCTGAAATTTAAAACAGAAGAGTATCTTATTTCCCTTAGAAGTTCACTGGGAAATAGGAATATTTGGAGATGTAAACGATTCATAAAAATGAACTGATATGTAGGAAATGTCCAATACTATGCAAGCATTTACTGAGCTTCTACTATGTGCTAGACATTGCTAATAACCAGGGTTATAGACTCTTTTCAAGAAACTCACTACCTAGTAGGGGAAAATGACCAAAAAAATGAACGCTTATTATAAGGAAACCAGAAAGGTTGAACTTTACTATCTTGAAGAAAGTGGGGAACTAGTGAAGGATTTTCAGTAGGGGAGAAAAATGGTAAACCTCACAGACTGGCTAAACTACCATTCACTCCCCTTGCCCCCCTTGCTTACCTTTATTACAGAAGCTAGGAAAGGTAAAAAACATCACATTCCAAGCCTCTACTGCAATGAGGGATGACCACATTGATACAGCTCTTGCCAGTGAAATGCAAGTCTACTTGAAAAGGCTTCTGGCAAACCTTTTGATTTTTTGATATCCAGGGCTTGTTCCACCCCTTGCCTTCTTGCCTTAAATCCAGCATGTGTAAAACTGTGCCAGTCATGCTATAACCCTAAGGGAAAGGCCAAAATCATTCCAGGTAACACAGCAATGATACCACTGAGCTACTCAAGCAAAGCCTGCAGCCATCTCCAGATTTCTTGTTATTCAAAATGATAAGTCCATTCAAGTGATTTAGTTGGGTTTTCTGTCATGAGTCTGAATGTCTTCTTGACCAATAAAAGTTATAAGAATAAATGTGTATCTCAGAATAGCCATTTCTGAGTTACTGTGGAGGATGGATTAGGAAGGGACAAGAATGAAGGTAGTGAGACTTGTTATGAAGTTATTATTGTACTCTAAGCAAGAGAAACAAGGGCAGTGATGATAGCGAGGAAAATATAGATTCAGAGATATTTAAAAGGTGAGAGAGAAGAGGCAAGATAAAGAAAAGGTTTCAAATATCTTCTAAGTTTCAAGTTTGAGAAACTAGGTGGATAGTCATGCCATTCTCCAAAACACATATGGTGAGGCATAAGTTCAGCTTTGGACATATTCAGCTTGGATACCTATGGGACAACACGTGAAAATGATAAGGCAGTTGACTATGGATCTTGAAGTCAAGAGTGAGGTCTGGATTAGAGAAACCCAGATTTGAGAGTACCGTCAGATACAGAGTACTGTCCAATAGAATTATAATGTAATTCTAATTACATATGTAATTCTAAAGTTAAAATAAATAGATGGATTTAATTTTAGTATTTTATTTAACTCAGTTTTTCCAAAATATTATTTCAACATGTTATCAGTATAGTTATTAATGGGGATGACTTACATGCTAAGTCTTTAAAATCTGATGTGTATTTTATACTTAAAGCTCATCTCAATTAATCTGAATGCCTTTTTCATCACAAATACTTGATCTATACATAAATTTCATAAAACTTACAGTTGAAGAAAGTAGATTCACATACCCATACTGTTCCAAACACATTTAAGTTTGCCAGTACCTGAAAGAAAATTTTTCCTTTACTTTTTAAATCCACACTGGAAAAATCCTGTTTATCTGTTTTAAAAAAATTGATTTGCCTTCAGAGCAAAAGCACATCAGTTTGAAAACTACATTTGTCCAAGTTAAGTAAATTCAATAAATCTTGTGTCAGCTCAGTATTGCTAACACTGAACTCAGTTACTGAGTAAATTGAAAAGCAACTTTAAACTTATCAATAAGTAACATTTTTCAAATTTTTCTTGTAGTTTTTGTAGTAAATTTACCTGTCAAAAACAGTTAAAATCTTATGCGTACCAATTCATATTAGAAAAATGTGTAAAGTTATTCTGACTTTTATTTTTTAAAGTTTCAATTTCAAAATAAATTCTAGAGGCTTCCCTAGTGGCGCAGTTGTTAAGAATCCGTCTGCCAATGCAGGGAACACGGGTTGGAGCCCTGGTCCGAGAAGATCCCACGTGCTGCAGAGCAACAAAGCCCACGTGCCTAGAGCCCGTGCTCCCCAGCAAGAGAAGCCACCGCAATGAGAAGCCCACGCACCGCAATGAAGAGTAGCTCCCGCTCACTGCAACTAGAGAAAGCCCGCGCACAGCAATGTAGATCCAATGCAGCCAAAGATAAATAAATAAATATTTAGAAATTTTTTTCTTTAATAAATAAATAAATTCTAGTACTTGTCTAGATAGCACAAGTAGGCTTTTTCCCTTACTTGAAGCTTCAAATTTAGATCATTCATATTCTGTGTAATACTGAGCAGAAAACAAACGGCCCAATTTTCTCTTTGATTATTTAAATATTTGGCTAGCATTTCTGTTGTTGCAAGAACATCTTGAACTGGTGTTAACGGTACAGTAAGTTTTGTAGAACTTTTCCACAATTCAACCAACTGGCAGAGTACACAAATCACTAAATTCATTGTCTTTTAATCTGTTCAGCAATCCTGTAAGCTGATGTTGACTCATAGCACTTAACACGTAACAACTGTACCATGACAGCATCATAGAGATCATTTCGGAAAACTGAGCACAAGTACTCTCAAACTGTATCACACAGTGGAATGAAGAAATAGGGGAAACACCAAGCTCATTTAAAAATTCCAATGAAATCTGACTTTTGACCTAACCTAGCTGGAATGCCATTTATTGTGACAAGAAGTACTTTTTTCTCATCTAGATGAAACTCTTTTGATAATTTAAAGATTAAAATATAGCTATACAGGCCATGAATTGAAATTATTTCTTTGTAAATTTTTAAGTCCTATGAGACAAAATGCACTCCAAGTATTACTTGGACAGCACATTTTCTATTACATAACTCATCTAAAGCTAAAGAAAAGTACTTGTAATTTTTCAGATTTTGAATCAATTAATCTTTAATATTGTTAAAAGTTCCTATATTCTACAAGCAACATTTGGTGACAACTGAAGACTCTGTACTTTTTTTATAAGATGTTTCTAGGCTTTAACTCATAAATTTCTAACAATTTCTATAACTGAAATAATGAACTTTACTTTCCATCTATATCTAAAACTAATTCTTTTTCATGCAAGAATCCAAGCTGTTTTATATCTGGCCAAACTTAACAAACTCAATCCTTTTAAAAGTTGTTCAAAAAAATTCTGTTGGACATTTCATTGTGATTTCAGGCGACTAAATTTCAATTCTTTTTTGACTTTTGAAGGTAACTTCATTCACTCATTCATTATGCATTTGCTGGAACTGTCTCAATATTGTTACTTTACTGTCTTATTTTTTGTTAAGTTATAGCTTGTTTTTCTCTGCCACAACAAACTGCAATCGTCATTCACTGTGAAATCTGCAACATACCTTCTTCCAGTCTTTGTTTACTGTCCCAGTTGTAGGACTAGCTTCTGCAGTTCTACTTGTTGCTTTTTCAGTATGCCTTCATTTTAAAATTTAAAGTTCGTTCATATTCATGTCTAAACTAGAAAAATAGTAAGTAAAACAAGTATATCAATTACCAACTATGATTTACAGAAGTAATCACTGTAATTCCAGTTGTCAGCATAAAATATTCAGATAAATACACTACGTTACATTGATTCATAGTAAAAAATAATTTACATTGAATCCAACACCAACTCAATCAGTGATGTTTATATATAATACCAGACATAGCACATGGAGTCTGACAAGCACATTCCAACAATCACACCTTAAGCAAGATAACAAAGTTAAATGTATTTTTAAAAAAAATAAGTTGAGTTCAACAAAAATATTTCACACAGCTTTAGTTTTTATGTTTAATTAAAATTAATTTAAAAATCTACTTTCTTAGTCCTACTGAACTCATTTCAAATGCTTAATAGCCACATGGTCCTAGTGGTTACCATATTAGATAGTGCAGATATGGAAATGAGAAAGACAAAAGTCACAAGGCTTGCAGTTTTTATTCCATTTCTCTTTTATTTGATATAACTTCCAGGGCTTAGAAGTTATTTGGGTTATATTACTCTTTCGTATCCTCACAAAAAAATTTAAAAAAGCAAAAATGGAATTGTTGGATGTTCTGTATAGGATTCCCTGAAATATGTATTTGGCTCACTCTAGCAGACATGGACCAACCTCTAAAAACCCATTGCTCCTAAAAACAATCAACTTTATCTCTTTGGAGAATGCCTTTTAAACAGCAACGTGCTGAATAATGTTTAACAACTGGCTTTTGAAATAAAAATGTATGCATTTAAAAGATGTGCAGCATACAATTTACAAATGATAAAATCATATACAATACTCTTTTCTCTTTGGCCGCACCACGCGGCTTGCAGGACCTTAGTTCCTTGACCAGGCATTGAACCCAGGCCATGGCAGTGAAAGCGCCAAGACCTAACCGGGGAATTCCCACACAATACTCTTTATTGTACGTTCCATATAGCCAACTGATTCTCATAGACTTTTGTTGACTTTTGTCGAACTCTTGTATCTGTAGCTAATCTGTGATTGCAATTTGACCAGGATCTTACAAAGGGAGTTGCATCCCAATCAGCTAACTCTTTTCCCAACAAACTTATAGTCATTAAATCTGATATATGACCTACTGTTAAACTATTTCTCACCCTTGTACAAATTATGTTCATTAAATTGAAACCTCTTTCAGCTTCAGCACTATTGACTGCAATGGTGCTAACTATCTTTTTAGCTTTTTGTACGGTTGTAGGAATTGAAACATTGTTTGACTTTACATTATTTACAAATTCCCGAAAATCATTCAAATCAATTTCGAATTTTAAAATTTCACACAAATGAAATAATTTTTTTTCACCAGTTATCCATGGTGAAGTTATTTCTTCATAAGGCCATGTAGAAGGTTCTAGCAAATCAAAATAATTAAAAATACTTTCATCATGGTTCCTGTCAGATAAAAGACGTAAGTTCATGTGTTGAATTATATTTTCTAGTAACATGTTCCTAGGAAGGGCATTAAATTTATTATTTTTATTAAATGGAATATCTTTAAACTTATCTGACTTAATCAAACCTTCAATTTGAGATTCATGCTTTCCAGCACCACTTTTTAAATTTTCCAAGGCTTTTATGGTACGTTTGATCAATTTTTGTGCTTTCTGAATGTTAGCTGAGCTTGACTGTAATGCAGTTGAAAGTAGTGAGAATTCTTCAAGAATGTCAATCATTAAAGCAAGGTCTTGCAAGAAATTAATGTTAGCTAATCTCTTTGCCAAACCAGAATGAGAATGAGAAAAATGCATATATAATACAGGATATGCACGCCATACAGCAGTAGCAGCTTGTAAACTACATGCCGCCCATTTTGGTCCCATTATCCGGCCAATTTTAACAATTTCAATTTCAAGATCTTTAGCTACATTTTCTAAAAGCTTGTTTTGATTTTTATTAGATTGATGATAATTAGAATAAATTTTATGGAGAAATATTTTTAAATGAGTCACCTGTTTTATTTCAGATATTGAATCATCAAGGGACAAGTGCAATCGATGGTTTAAAACAGTTCCAAATAATGATTTCAGGAAAATTTTCTAACAACTTTGTAGCTACTCCAGACTTTCTTCCCAGCACTGTATTAGCACCATCAGAACAAAATGCAATTAAATTTGCTTTCAAATATTCATTAGTGAAACCACAATCATTTAAAGTACTCAATAATGTATTGAAAATACACTCTGCTGTGGTTGACACCAATTCTTTCAAAGCAACAAATAACATTACGGGTGCAGGAACCGACTGAACTGTGCGCTGGAGATAAATCACGAAGGTCCTTTTCTTTGAAACTGTGGATGCCTCATCAATTACAATACAGATTTTGGCATTTTCTTCTATAATATTCTTAAATATCGTCATCTTTATTTCTTTTGCAATATGCTTTGCTATTCTTGTTGCACCGTATCGTGTATTTAAACAACTGACCTCTCCATTTTTCTCTTGTAATTCTATTGCCCCTTCAATATCAGATAAAGGTCTACTATGTTTTATTAAACTATAAACAGTATTGAAAACTTTCACAGTAGCATCAATATTTTTATTACTTTGTTTATGCACTAAATTAGAAACTGAGTCATTAATTGATTCCTTTAACAAATCCTGAATTTTACCATGGGCTTTAGAAACATCATGTTCCCTAATTTTTTTCGCAGAGAAGCTTGTCTAGTAGTTTTATTACTGCCGTTAGGGGTTACTAAATATGCAATCCACTCCTTGGACACATGGACATGCTTTTCTGCTTTCAATCCCAAATGCCGAACTGTTGAGCAATCCTTACATCCTAATTTACCTTCTTTTATTTCAAGCCATTTGTACTGTTCTGCAAACATAAATGCTTGTTTTTCATTCCAACAATCTGGAAGCACAAGATTATCCATTTCTTCCTTTGATGAACATGATGGCTTTTCTTCAATGACTGGTTGTTCAACATATTTGAAATTTGATTCCTTAGACTTAGACAATCCACAATAGTTTACCTTTAAGTTTTTATATACTTGAATTTTTAAATTGATGTGTAGTTGATTTACAACGTTATGTTAGTTTCTGGTGTACAGCAAAGTGATTCAGTTATATATATTCTTTTTCACATTCTTTTCCATTATAGGTTATTACAAAATACAGTAGGACCTTGTTGTTTATCCACTTTGTATACAGTAGTTTGTATCTGCAAATTCCTAACTCCTAATTCATCCCTCCCCTATCTTTCCCCTTCGGTAACCATAAATTTGTTTTCTATATCTGTGAGTCTGTTTCTGTTTTGTAAATAAGTCCATTTGTATCATATTTTAGATTCCATATATAACTGGTATCATATGGTGTTTGTCTTTCTCCTTCTGACTTACTTCACTTAGTATGATAATCTCTAGGTCTATCGATGTTGCTGCAAATGGCATTATTTCATTCTTTCTTATGGCTGAGTTATACTTGAATTTTTAAGAACGGCTATGTTTAACAATCAGCTCAAATTTAACAAACAATTCTTGCAAGCCAGTTCAAGCCACCTCCAGCACATACTGCACTTAATGACACAACTGAAGAAACACAAATATAATATACTTACATCACTATGATAGGTGCTATGCTCTTTATCATCACCACAGACCAGATCAATGTATTCAAGAACAGGTCTTGATAGTCCCTCCTAAAAAGGAAGTCAGCAAATTTACAAGTCATTAACAATCATTCAAACCAAATGTGCCTTTACAATCACTAGGGGTTTTTTGGTTGGAATTAGCAAGAATTCCTGTGAAGAGGTGGCCTCACTGGTGGTGCAAAATAATCAGAAACAGAACCAGCAGAGGTAAAGATTCAGAGAAGACCAATATGCAATGACGACAAAACCCAAAAAGAGCCTAAATCTATATAGAGGGAAAAAGCCATGTACTCCTTTGGAAACGGGAAATAGACCAGGGATAATGTTTAAAAGACACAGATATCACGGTACAGTATTTTTTAACTGGGATGGTTATCAATAATCTTTTACATATCTAAGCTCAAAAGCATGGAGTTCTTTGATATCTCTGCTTCATCCTCCATATCCTTACGCAACCAAATATCAAATCTCTTCAATCTTTTCTTTACACACATACTACCTTCAACATAGACCAGGCCTTAAATACCCCAGTTGAAAACCTAGATTTTATTTTACAGGCAAAGGAATCAACTAGTAGTGTTGAGACGGGAACCACATTAAAGCTGTGCTTCAAGAAGATTAGGAGACAGGACTTCCCTAAGACTCCATGCTCCCAATGTAGGGGGCCCAGGTTCAATCCCTGGTCAGGGAACTAGATCCCACATGCCATAACTACAGATCCCATGCGCCTCAACTAAAGATCCTGTGTGCCACAACTAAAAAAAGATCCCGCATGCCGCAACTAAGACCCAGCACAGCCAAATAAATAAATATTTTAAAAAATAAACTTGAACTGCTAATTATTTTTTTTAAAAAAAAGAAGAAGATTAAGAGAGTATGAAATGTGGGATGATCAGTTAAGAAGAAAACCAATGCAGACAAATGGTAATTTAATACTAAAGTAGAGTGAGGGCAAGCAGAATAATGAGCAAGTGCCCTCTTCTGTATGTACACTGCACTTCAGGAAAATTTACACCAAAGATAAGAGCTCTTTCTGTACTCCCCAATTTTCATCATTCCTTTCTTTCAGCATATTGTGTTTAGTTTGGGGCTTATATATATGGCAGCATACAAAGAGGATGCTGTGCCATAATGCAGACTGAGGCTGGAAAATAAGATTTATACGAAAAAACTAAGAAATCCAAACCAGAATACGTCAAGTAGTAACATTCTTGATAAAAGATATAAAAAGAACACAAAAATTTTTTTGTATCTGAGAACCCTCAAGCAGAGCATTGTACCCAGTAGCATTTCATCTTTTTTGGCTGGTACTATAAGAAACATAGTAATAAACACATCCTGATGGAACCCAGCATAGGATGGGGTGAGAGGAAGTAAATTCTGATCTGAATGTAGTTTAAAGGAGAATTAAATGATCATTTTTATGTGGTACCATTTAAATGCAACAGGAATATTTTTACTAGATTCTTCTCGTACTGCAATTCCACTCAGTGCATATAATTCATTTCTTATTGAGCTGTCAAATCTTCAATCCTCTAATTGTAAACAAGGCTATTTCTAAGAGGTTCTAGCAAGCTGGATGTACACTACTCTGGATGCAAAGATACAAAAAATTCTCTATATTTAAAATAAAATTTAAATTAAGATTTCTAAACCTCACCTTAACACAAGCTAATATATTAACTCAGTCAGAATTTACAACATGATTATGCATTTAATCCTGAGAGTATGACACAAAATTACACCCATTTATTTCTCCAACCTTAATTTTGTAGAATCCTACTGTGTTTCTCAAAATGAGGCACACAAATCATAAACACTTGTGTCACGCCTAGCTAGAGCTGCACAAAACACCATCAAGGTCATCGTATCCTATTCATTGTCTTTATACCACGGTCAGGAAGAACCTAAATTATTTTTCCTAATGTCCCCTGCAATCCTCTTTCCAAATGTTTTTCAGTACAAAAACAGACATCATGGCTCTTCAATTTCCACAGCTACATCACTTCTCAGCACATGGGGAGGCAAAGTCAGCATACAATCCTTCTTGGTATCCCCAAATTTATAAAAGTTCAAGTGTCAAGAAAAAAGTACCACATGCACTATTGTGGCGAAGAATGTCAAGGAAATGATCTTGATCTTTTAAAGAATTTCTATATAACCCTACTAGAACATAAAAACAATGTTACCACAACCTTTAGGGAGGGAATTTTGTTTGATTTAAAAACAAGTCATTTACAAGAGGAAGGAGATATGGGGATATATGTGTATGTATAGCTGATTCACTTTGTTATAAAGCAGAAACTAACACACCATTGTAAAGCAATTATACTCCAATAAAGATGTCAAAAAAAAACTGAAAAAAAATATAAAAATAAAAACAAGTCAATTACATGGTTGCCATAAACCTACAGTAACTAAGAAACACACAAACATTAAACAGGCAAACCTTTAAAAAAGGTTATACACCTTTAACAGCAAACCTCAACTAACTACAATATTCAAAAAGAGTCATTCACAGTAGAAATATTCTCTAGCTAACTAAGATACTACTTGAAGCAGAGCCTTTGTAAAACTTTAACAGTGTGGGGTGGAAATTACCCTCAAATGTATCATAGCACCCCCTTCACTTCTTGCAACCAATGTTTTACAAAGTGTGTTCACAGCTTCATACACCCCTGCATTTGCACCAACATCAAGATTCCTGGGCCCCACCTCCCATTTCTGATTCCATAAGTCTGGAGTGAGGTCCGGGAATCCACACACTTCTACTTACTAATGCTTGAAAACTACTGTCCAAAGGGAATAAAAACAGAAAGATACAGGATGCTCCTGGTGATACGGGCCCTTCATTGTGAACCTCGCCTGCTGGACTGTCCTGTAACAGGATGAGCTCGGAGCTTAGTGAAGTCTTCAAGCCACCCGCCTTCACGTTATGGAGACACACAGGCTCAGAAGTTGAGTTCCTGCAGCCCTTCTGGTTTTCTACCTCATTCCTCATCACTACCGCCCCTTCTCCCTAACCTGTGTGCTATCTTTTAGAAGTTACTCTTGCCTCATTTCAAAGCACTCTTAGGAGACCACAACCCTGCGTACATGAACGGCTCTAAGTGCAGGGGGAGAGGCGAGATTCAGGGTACAACACGCACCGCAGGCCACAGGCTTTGTGATGCCTACTGGGGCTGCTCAGACACCTCTTCAGGCAAATTCCCTACTCCTATGCCCTACTCCACAGTGTACAGTCTCTATCAGACATTCACACACGTTTGCTGCATGAAGAACAAACAGGTGAGAGGTAATCACATCACGGCTTATCACGCATAGTCTCTGACTCGGAAAAACCCGAATATCGTCGCTACTTACACTAACAAACTGAATGTCATCTTCATTTTCCTCGGGTGTTGACTCGGACGCCTCAGGCCCAGCTGGAGGGACACATTCTATTATCTATAAAAGTAAGCCAAAACACGGTTATCTAGACAACCCCGCACTTACAGGAGATTTTTCCTAAGGGAACGAAGAAGGAAAGCTCTCGAGGAGACCTAACGGAGCCCCAGCCTCCGCGAGCCCGAGCTCGCGTCCGTGGAACCGCAGGGGCTCCTCCGCATCCCTTCTCCCCGAGGAGCAGGGAGCACGCTCCCCCAAGAGGCAGTCGGCCTCGGAACCCACGCCGCGCCCGCGCCGAGCAGCGGTCCCCGAGCCGGGCGGCCACTGTTGCTGCGGGGCCCTCTCCCCCAGGCCCACTAGGTCCCCAGGCCCCAGACTCTAGGCCCCAAACTCTAGGCCTCCAGACCCCCAGGCCCCTAGTCCGCCAGGCCCCAGATTCCAAGCCCCCCAGGCCCAGGCCCCCAGACCCCCTGGCCTCCTAGGCCCCAGACCCCCTAAGCTCCCCAGGCCCCCTAAGCCCCCCAGACCCCAGGTACGGCCCAGCACCCCCCGGACTCTGCACAAGGCCGGGCCCAGCCCGCTACTCACCTCCGACCCTGGGTCTTCCATCTCCCCGCCGCCGCCTCCGCCACCGGCGGCAGAAAGGGCTGCAAACCGCTTCCCCTGAGCAGCGGCCCAGTAGGCCCGTGGGGCCTGGCCTCCCTCCCAGAGCTCCGGACACCCTCGTCCGCCGCGCGGGCCGCTGGGAACTGTAGTTCCGGCCGCGCCGAGACCGCTCCGCGCGCGGAGGGGCGCGGGAAGACTGAGCTACTGCGCATGCGCTCCTCGAGAAACTTCTGCAGCTCAAGTGGAATCATTAGGTGACCTTTGTCTCCCAACTTCTCTGTTTTCTGTTTTAGAACAAAATTGTGGCTTATATAATAGATCAATGGTGTTAAAATGCTTACTAGTGAAATCATGACCAACCGTTTTCTTTAAAAAACACACAAACGATTGTGAACAGATAAAATGTGTGAAAACAGGTATTATCTGAGGACATGTAAAGCTTTTCCTCCTTTCCCCATCAGCCTAAGATCACCTGTAGTCCGACGAACCTGTATTCCCACAGAATCACCTTTATGATTCTGACCCTGGCCTGCAGTGAGCGAGGCCATACAGCGGAATAACCTCGGGAGACAAAGGAATGGAGTTATGAGATTTTAAGGAAGGGTTTAGGTAGGTGAAATGTCAGTGAAACTGTTCTGATAGGGTCAAAAGCAATTATAGGGCCGCGTGTAAAGAGTTCAACATTAGGTCTGGACTGCAAAGGTCTTGGTAACTTGGGAACTACAAATTAAGATAGATACTAAATGATGTATCCAGAAACCCCTGTGCCAGGTGTGAGATATGGGGCTGGTTCTCTATATCAAAGAGACCAGCAAAGAGAGGGGCATTTCATTCTTACTGATACATTTTCAAAGAACAAAGTGTCTCATAGTCTGATTTTAGAGAACAAAGTTTCTCATTGAGCAAATAAGAAACCAGTAGTTATCAAAGTCACTTTGACTTTGTGCCGTATTTCTTTGGTAGAGATATTGTCCCTTGTTAATGTTTAAGCTGACTTTAATGTGTGTGTGATATTTAAGCCCAGCAGACATTTAATTTCTCGTCGGAGGTCCGTTTTTGCCAGTCTAAATGAGCACATGACATTATGTTCATAGGTGGTATTAGATACAACTGTTATAGCTTTTGCATTTTCACAAAGTGCACTTGTTCCAACTAAATTTGGGGCTTGTAAAAGAAAGTTGAGAACAGGAGGGACCTACCATGATGATCTCCCCAAAAGCCACAGGTAAATTAACCATTTCTAAATCCCTTAAATGTCTAGGAGAGGTTTGCATTTAAAAGATTTTCCTAGGGGCTTCCCTGGTGGCGCAGTGGTTGAGAGTACGCCTGCCGATGCAGGGGACACGGATTCATGCCCCGTCCGGGAAGATCCCACATGCCGCGGAGCAGCTGGGCCCGTGAGCCATGGCCGCTGAGCCTGCGCGTCCGGAGCCTGTTCTCCGCAACGGGAGAGGCCACAACAGTGAGACGCCCGCGTACCACAAAAAAAAAAAAAAAACAACAAAACGATTTTCCTAGTCTGCTGGTAAGAGTTCAATAGAAACGCACTGTCATAGGTTGCCGTTGGGAGTTTTTGAGTTAAGCTCTTGGTAAACAGCAGCACGTATGTGCCTAGAGCCCAAATGTGCTCATGCCCTTCATTTCGGTAATTGTTGAGGGGATGGTCTTTTCCATTTAAGATATTCTAATAGGTATGTAGTGATATTGCATTGTGATTTTTTTTTTTTTTTTTTTTTTTTTTTGCGGTACGCGGACCTCTCACTGTTGTGGCCTCTCCCGTTGCAGAGCACAGGCTCCGGACGCGCAGACCCAGTGGCCATGGCTCACGGGCCCAGCTGCTCCGCGGCATGTGGGATCCTCCCGGACCGGGCCACGAACCCGCGTCCCCTGCATCGGCAGGTGGACTCTCAACCACTGTGCCACCAGGGAAGCCCTGCATTGTGATATTTTTTAAAAATATGTATTTATTTATTTGGTTGCACCAGGTCTTAGTTGCGGCAGGTGGGTTCCTTAGTTGCAGCTTCAGGGCTCCTTAGTTGTGGCATGCATGTGGGATCTAGTTCCCTGACCAGGGATCGAACCCAGGCCCCCTGCATTCGGAGCACGGAGTCTCTTATTCACTGCACCACCAGGGAAGTCCCCTGCATTGTAATCTTAATTTGCATTAACCTAATGACTAATAACGTAATAATATTGAGCATCTTTTTATGTGTTCCTTTGCCATCGGTATGTCTTCACTGGTGGTGTCTGTTAAGATCTTCTGTCTGTTATTTAAATGAGTTGTTTATTTTCTTATCGAATTTTGAAAATTGTTTATTTATTCTGGGTACAAGTTCTTAACAGATATGTGATTTGCAAATATTTTCTCCCAGTCTATGGCTTTTCTTTCCATTTTCTTAAAATTGTCTTTCAAAGGGAAGTTCTTACAGTTGATGAAGTCTAATTTATCAATTTTTTTTTTTTTGGTGGTGGTGTATCTAAGCAAGATTACAAATATTCCTCTTTGTTTTCTTCTGAAATTTTTTAAATTAGGTTTTAATTTTAGGTCTGTGGTCCATTTAGAATTCATTTTTGTATATGATGTGAGGTATGCATATGTATATACCATTGTTCCAGGACCAGCTGCTGAAAAGAATAGTTTTCATTTGAATTGCCTTTGCACCTTTGTCAAATACCAGTTGTCCATATTCGTGTGGGTCTGTTTCTGAACTTTCAGTTATATTCTACTGATGAATTTATCTATCTTGACACCAGTACCACACCATCTTGATTACTGTAGTTTTGCAATAAGTCTTGAAATCAAATAGTGTTAGTCGTTCAGCTTTATCTTCTTGTTTATCTAATTCTTGTAGGTGTTTAGCTTATCTCAACAACGTTTTGTAGTTTTCACTGTCAGATGTTATCTTGTATCTTCTATTTTGTATCTTGTTATATATCTTGTCAGATTAATTGCTAAGTATTTCATATTTTTTGATGGTATTGTAATTGGTATGATTTCTCAAATTTCAATTTCTGATTGTCCATTATTATTACAGAAATAAAACAGATTTTTCTCTAGCTTTATTGAAATGTAATTGACAAATAAAAATTGTATACATTTAGGTGTGCCACATGATGTTTCGATATTATTACACATTGTGAAAAGATTACCACAATCAAACTAATTAAGATATCTGTCAACTCACATAGTTACCATTTTGGGTGTGTGCATGGTGAGAACACTTAAGATCTATTCTCTTAGCAAATTTCAAGTATACAATACATTATTGTTAACTATAGTCACCATGCTATCTATGTTAGGTCTCCAGAACTTACTCATCGTATAACTGGAAGTTTGTACCCTTGGACCAACATCTCCTCATTTCCCCCACCCCCACAGCCCATGGTAGCCACCATTCTGCTCTCTGTTTCAATGAGTTCATCTTTTTTAGATTCCACACATGAGATCATGTGGTATTTATCCTTATGTGTTTGGCTTATTTCACTTAGCATAATGTCCTCCACGTTCATCCACATTGCTGTAAATGGCAGGATTTCCTTCTTTTCTAAGGTGGAAGAGTATTCCACTGTGTATGTGTACCATATTGTCTTTATCCAGTCATCTGTCAACAGACATTTAGGTTGTTTCCATGTCTTGGTTATCATAATAATGGTGCAATGAACACTGGAGTGCATATATCTCTTTGAGATACAGATTTTATTTCCTTCGCATATATACCCAGAAGGTATATGCTAGATCATATGGTAGTTCTATTTTTAATTTTTTGAGGAATCTCCATACTATTTTCCATAGTGACTGTATCAATTTACATTCCCACCAACAGTGCACAAGGGTTCCCTTTTCTCCGCATACTTGCCAGCCCCTATTATTTCTTATCTTTTTTATAATAGCCATCTTAACAGGGGTGAGGTGATATTTCACTGTGGTTTTGCTTTGCATTTCCCTGATGATTAATGACATTAAGCACCTTTTCATATAACTGTTGGCCATTTGTATGTTTTCTTTGGAAAAATAAGGTCAGGTCCTTTGCTCATTTTTAGATTATTTGGTTTTGTGCTATTGAGTTGTATGAGTTCCTTATATATTTGTATGTTAATCTCTCTTTAAAGAGATTTGGTTTATGGTTTACAAATATTTTCTTCCCTTCTGTAGGTTGCCTTTTTGTTTTGTTGATAGTTTCCTTTGCTGTGGCAGAAACTTTTCAGTTTGATGAAGTTCACTTGTTTATTTTTGCTTTTGTTGTCTGTGCTTTTGGTGTCATATCCAAAAATATCATTGCCAAGGCCAATGTCAATGAGCTTTTCCCCTACATTTTCTTCTATTAGTTTTTCAGTTTCAGGATTTACATTTAAGTCTTTAATTTAGTTTCAGTTAATTTTTGTGTATACAGTAAGATAAGGGTCCAATTTTATTTTTTGCATGTGAATATCCAGTTTTCCCAACACCATATATTGAAGAGACTATTCTTTCCCCATTGTGTGTTCTTGATGCCTATGTCAAAGATTAGTTGTTAATATATGGGTGGTTTTATTTCTAGGCTTTCAATACTGTTCTGTTGGTCTATGTGTCTGTTTTTATGCCAGTACTATATTGTTTTGATTACTATAGCTTTGTAATATAACTTTAAATCAGGAATTGTGATGTCTTCAGCTGTTGTTCTTCTTTCTTAAGATTTCTTTGGCTATTCAGTGGCTTTTGTGGTTCCATAGGAATTTTAGAATTGTTTGTTCTATTTCATGAAAATGCCATTGGGATTTTGATAGAGATTATAATTGAATCTGTAGATCATTTAAGGACATTTTAACAATATTATTCTTACAATCTATGAACAGACCAGTGGGGGTGTCCTATTTGTGGGGGTCTGCATGTGAGGTGTCCCAGGGGGCTGGTGGGCAGGCCTCCTGGTGGAGTCTGTCAGTCAGTAGGATCCTCAGCCCTTTGTTGAGTCTGGGTCCTGGTTTCTGTAATTCCCATCTCTCTTCCCTGCACCCAGCCTCTCCCCTATCTAGCCATGTCAAATACCTCGGGATTCTGGGTAGGCAAGAAAGAAGTGGGCCTCTTAGGCAGCGTTCAGCATGGCTTGGGTGGACCAGCTCATTCACTACCTCTCACTTACCCCCATGGGAGAAATTATGGTCCAAGGGGGTTTCTCTTGGTACTAAGCTGTGCCACCTTGGGGGAGTGGTGATGTGGGTAAAGTGAAACTGTTCTTACCATCTTCAGTCCATCTATTCTTGGATTATTTTGTTCAGCGGTGTGCTGGAACCTCTCTGCTGGACCCCTGGGCTCCCACAAAGATAGTCTCATCCATGGATGAAGATGATGGTAGAAAACTCCTATTCTGCCATCTTGCTGACCCGACAGCTGAAATACAATGATTTCTGTAAATTGATCTTGTATCTTGCAACTTTGCTGAACTCATTTTTTAGTTCTTTTTTTTTTTTTACACTTTTTTTACTCTTTAGTTCTAGTACTTTTTGGAGATTCCCTTAGATCATCTGCATAGATAAACTTGTTGTCTATGAATGAAGACAGTTTTTTGCTTCTTTTCCAATCTGAATACTTTTTATTTATTTATTTTTAAAGACTTTGCACATTCCACTGACTCTTTTTTTTGGTTGCACCAAGTCTTAGTTGTGGCAGGCAGGCTCCTTCGTTGTGGCTCGTGGGCTCCTTAATTGTGGCTCATGGGCTCCTTAGTTGTGGCATGCATGTGGGATCTAGTTCCCTGACCAGGGATCAAACCCAGGCCCCCTGCATTTGGAGTGTGGAGTCATCCACTGCACCACCAAGCAAGTCCCCTGAATACCTTTTATTTCTTTCCTTGGTTTATTGAACTAGTTAGAAGCTCCAAAATAATCTTGACTATATGTGGTGAGAATGAACATTCTTGACTTGTTTCTGACTTTAAAGGGAAAGTATTCAGTCTTCCATCATGAAGTATAATGTTAGCTGTAGGTTTTAACTGCTTTGTTAATTTTCAGATTTGGGACTTCCTGAGACACGTTGACTTTTTGACCCTGTATTTGACTATAACCAGGGAACAGGAGCACTGATATTTGTTATTGACCCCCAGGATGATTAGCCCTGCCCAGGCTCCACCTCACAATGACCAGAGCCCACAGAATGAACATGGACATACACTTCCAGTGGATGGTCTATCAGGTGACCACAAAATTGAAACCCAGAGAGCAGACAATGACGTTGCAGATACTGAATTAAAAAAAATTCACCTCAGCTCTTATTTGACAAGCATATATGATCGTTCAATATATGAAGTTTTTTATTTTTATATTTTTAGGTTTTTAAAAATCTTTTTAATAAGTCTACAAATAATAAATGCTGGAGAGGGTGTTGAGAAAAGGGAACCCTCCTACACTGTTGGTGGGGATGTAAATGGGTGCAGCCACTATGGAGAACAGTATGGAGGTTCCTTAAAAAACTAAAAATACAGTTGCCATAGGATCCAGCAATTCCACTCCTGGGCATATACCCAGACAAAACTAATTTGAAAAGATACAGGCACCCCTGTATTATGTAAAGAAGCCATCAGCCTAGAAAATGATTTTCTCCCTGGATTTTATACATTAATAAGAAAAAAGCAAATGCTTTTTATGTTTTCAATGGGATTTATTTATATTTAAGTAAAAGTAGCAAATGTTAACATAAGTTATTGCCTTAAGAATATTTATTTTGTACAACCACATTGTTATCAAGCAACATTTATGGAATGTTCCTGGGTCCACAGTGCTGGACTTTTTAACCATCATATTCATCCTCCTTTCCAAGTTTGAACATGGCCTTGTGCACTGAAGAATCATGGCTTGACATTGTACAGTTGTCACGTGTGACAACCTGATATCAAACGAGAAGCCTGTTGATAAAGAATGTTTTATCTTTTATTCATTTACAAAATGGTATTTGTATATATGTGTGATTACTAAACCCATATGATTTTGTTTTCAATTATTTTCTCTTCTGATACTATGAAAACAAATCAGTTAAAACTAAGCAATGTAGCAGTTTGATGTTTTGTATTACACATGCATATTTAATATACTTTGGGCAATAAAAAGTTAGAAGCATGTAAACAAACAAACATGAAAAAAGATTTTTTAAAAAGTTGATGCATTGTTTTAGCAATCAAGAAAACTTGGGTTTATTTCTTTTTCAGGAGCACAGTGGAATAGTTTAATATTCAAATAAAAATGTCTTGCTGTTCTCATCTTTTCAGATTCTTATTTTATACAATTTTATGTAACAGAATAATCCTGTAATCTTATTGCCAAAACTCTATTACTTCATTAGATATGATTATCAGATTTTAGGCTGATTTTGCTGCTGTCATGTTTGTGAACATTGATTATTTCACTGTTCACTTTTCCAAACATGTGCTTATACTAAAGATCCAAAAGCTAAAATGGAGAGTCATTGGTAATAATAAACGTACAGGGATTGATTAGAACAATGATGAATCTTAGGGGTTAAAGTTTTTGTTGCTAGGATAAGAGCCCTGATTGTCCTGTTAGTTTAGCTGTACAAAGGACCACTTTGGGGTGGGAAAGTGCATATTTCCAAGAAACCATATTGCATGCTCACGGGCCTGCTAGAAATTCTCTGGTTTGATGCCTCACTGGTACTGAGGGTGAAATCTACATGCAGCTTCTTCACAAGCTTGTGCTCCATCAGGGCAGCCCAACAATGTCGCAGGTTTCTCCCAGGCTGTCACTCACTGCACCTGTCCCTGTGCTCACTGCCAGGGAGGCTGCAGAGTCTCCAGCAAAATCCTATGTTAGATTTACTACTGAAGGTTCTTTTGTTTCAGGTAACTATAATACCTATAAAAAGCAAGTAAAAAAAAAAAAAACAGAGCAAATTTATGTTAGAGTTCTTATAGTATTTTTAACAGTTTTTAGGTTATAATAATATGTTATAATAACAGTATGAGTTATTTATCTTTGTGTCAACTACAAATTTTTGCTTAAAAATACAAAATTGTTAATAAGAACAATTATTCTTGAGGTGACTTAGGAATTATTTTATGATCTATTCAGAAGAATTCCAGCATAGATAACAACTAAAATATTTAACATATATTTTTATCTCACAAGACTTAAAAAAAACTCAAACACACAAAGGAAAATTAATGATCCCCACATACCCATCTTAAAATATTATCAACAATTCTGTTTGTCACTCTTTGATAACACTTATTGATTGTTTAAGTATCAGGAAATTTCCCAAATCTGCCTTGCCTCTGCCATATATATATCTTCTTTATCCATTCATCTATCAATGGACACTCGGGGTGCTTCCATATATTGGCTATTATAAATAATGCTGAAATTAACATAAGGGGTGCATATATCCTTTCAAAATAGTGTTTCTGTTTTCTTTGGAAAAATATCCAGAAGTTGAATTGCTGGATTTTATGGTAGTTCTATTTTTAATTATTTCAGGACTCTCCTTACTGTTTTGCATAGTGGTTGCACCAATTTACATTCCTATTGACAGTGTATGATGGTTCCCTTTTCTCCACAATTTGTTATTTGTTGTCTTTTTGATAACAGCTATTCTGGTAGGTGTGAGGTTATCGCTCATTGTGGTTTTGATTTGAGTTTCCCTGATGATTAGTGATGTTGAGCATCTTTTCATGTGCCTGTTGGCCATCTGTATGTCTTCTTTGGAAACGTGTGTTCAGGTCCTCTACCCATTTTTTTTTAACATCTTTATTGGAGTATAATTGCTTTACAATGGTGTGTTAGTTTCTGCTTTATAACAAAGTGAATCAGCTATACCTATACATATATCCCCATATCTCCTCCCTCTTGCATCTCCCTCCCATCCTCCCTATCCCACCCCTCTAGGTGGTCACAAAGCACTGAGCTGATCTCCCTGTGCTATGTGGCTGCTTCCCACTAGCTACCTGTTTTACATTTGGTAGTGTGTATATGTCCATGCCACTCTCTCACTTCGTCCCAGCTTCCCCTTCCCCTTCCCGTGTCCTCAGGTCCATTCTCTACATCTGCATCTTTATTCCTGTCCTGCCCCTAGGTTCATCAGAACCTTTTTTTTTTCAGATTCCATATATATGTGTTAGCATATGGTATTTGTTTTCCTCTTTCTGACTTACTTCACTCTGTATGACAGACTCTGGGTCCATCCACCTCACTACAAATAACTCAATTTCATTTCTTTTTATGGCTGAGTAATATTCCGTTGTATATATGTGCCACATCTTTATCCATTCATCTGTCGATGGACACTTAGGTTGCTTCCATGTCCTGGCTATTGTAAGTAGAGCTGCAATGAACATTGCGGTACATGACTCTTTTGAATTATGGTTTTCTCAGCGTATATGCCCAGTAGTGAGATTGCTGGGTCCTATGGTAGTTCTAATTTTAGTTTTTTAAGGAACCTCCATAATGTTCTCCGTAGTGGCTGTATCAATTTACATTCCCACCAACAGTGCAAGAGGGTTCCCTTTTCCCCACACCCTCTCTAGCATTTATTGTTTGTAGATTTTTTGATGATGGCCATTCTGACTGATGTGAGGTGATACCTCATTATAGTTTTGATTTGCATTTCTCTAATGATTAGTGATGTTGAGCATTCTTTCATGTGTTTGTTGGCAATCTGTATGTCTTCTTTTGAGAAATGTCTATTTAGGTCTTCTGCCCATTTTTGGATTGGGTTGTTTGTTCCTTTGATATTGAGCTGCATGAGCTGCTTATAAATTTTAGAGATTACTCCTTTGTCAGTTGCTTCATTTGCAAATATATTCTCCCATTCTGAGGGTTGTCTTTTTGTCTTGTTTATGGTTTCCTTTGCTGTGCAAAAGCTTTGAAGTTTCACTAGGTCCCATTTGTTTATTTTTGTTTTTATTTCCATTTCTCTAGGAGGTGGGTCAAAAAGGATCTTGCTGTGATGTATGTCATAGAGTGTTCTGCCTATGTTTTCCTCTAAGAGTTTGATAGTGTCTGGCCTTACATTTAGGTCTTTAATCCATTTTGAGTTTATGTTTGTGTATGGTGTTAGGGAGTGTTTTAATTTCATTGTTTTACATGTAGCTGTCCAGTTTTCCCAGCACCACTTATTGAACAGGCTGTCTTTTCTCCATTGTATAGTCTTGCCTCCTTTATCAAAAATAAGGTGACCATATGTGTGTGGGCTTATCTCTGGGCTTGCTATCCTGTTCCATTGATCTATCTTTCTGTCTTTGTGCCAGTACCATACTGTCTTGACTACTGTAGCTTTGTGGTATAGTCTGAAGTCCAGGAGCCTGATTCCTCCAGCTCCGTTTTTCTTTCTCAAGATTGCTTTGGCTATTCAGGGTCTTTTGTGTTTCCATACAAATTGTGAAATTTTTTGTTCTAGTTCTGTGAAAAATGCCATTGGTAGTTTCATAGGGATTGCATTGAATCTGTAGGTTGCTTTGGGTAGTATGGTCATTTTCACAGTGTTGATTCTTCCAGTGCAGGAACATGGTATATCTTTCCATCTGTTTGTGTCATCTTTAATTTCTTTCATCAGTGTCTTATAGTTTTCTGCATACAGATCTTTTGTCTCCTTAGGTAGGTTTATTCCTTGGTATTTTATTCTTTTCGTTGCATTGGTAAATGGGAGTGTTTCCTTGATTTCTCTTTCAGATTTTTCATCATTAGTGTATAGGAATGGAAGACATTTCTGTGCATTAATTTTGTATTCTGCTACTTTACCAAATTCATTGATTAGCTCTAGTAGTTTTCTGGTAGCATCTTTAGGATTCTCTATGTATAGTATCATGCTCTACCCACTTTTTAATTGGGTTGTGTGTTTTTTTACTGTTTGATTGTATGAGTTCTCTGTATATTTTGGATATTAACTCCTTATTGAGTATGTCATTTACAAATATTCTTCTCCCATTCATTAGGCTGCCTTTTTGTTGATAGTTTCCTTCATTCTTCCTTTTTTTTCTTTTTCTGTTCTTTTCTTTGCTCTTCTTTTGCCTCTCTTCCCATGTGATTTGCTGACTCTCTTTGGAGTTACATTTGGATTCCTTTCTCTTTTTTTGTGTGTGTATATATTATAGATTTTTGCTTTTAGTTACCATGAGGTTTATATATTTTATATATACATGTGATTATTTTAAGTTGATAGTCTCTGAAGTTCAAACACATTCTAACAACCCTGCATTTTTACTTCCTCCCCGGCATGTGTCATGTTTCTGACATCATATTTACATCTTTTTGTTTTGTGTACCCCTTAACTACTTATTGTGGATATAGATGATTTTGTCCTTTAACTTTCCTACTAGCTTTGTAAGTGGTGGATATACTACCTTTACTGTATGTTTGCCCTTACCAGTGAGATTTTTTTCCTTTTGTAATTTTATATTTCTAGTTGTGGTCTTTCTTTTACACTTAGAGAAGTCCCTTTAACATTTCTTGTAAATGTTAGTGCAGTTTAGTGGTGCTAAACTTTTAGATTTTGATTGTCTGGGAAACTCTTTATCTGTCCTTCAAATCTCAATGAAAGCCTTGCTGAGTGGAGTATTCTTGGTTCAGGTTTCTCTTTTCATCACTTTGACTATATCATGCCACTCCCTTCTGGCCTGCAAAGCTTCTGCTGAAAAGTTGGCTGACAGTGTTATGGAAGTTCCCTTGTGTACAACTAGTTGGTTTTCCGTAGCTGCTTTTAAGATTCTCTCCTTATCTTTAACTTTTGTCATTTCAGTTATAATGTGTCCTGGTGTGGACCTGTTTGGGGTCATCTTGTTTGGGACTTTCTATGCTACCTGGACATGGAAGTCTGTTTCCTTTCCTAGATTAGGGAAATTTTCAGTTATTATTGCTTCAAAAAAGTTCTCTCCCTCTTTCTCTCTCTCTTCTCCTTCTGGGACCCCAACAATGTGAATGTTAGTATGTTTAATGTTGTCTCAGAAGTCTTTTAAACTGTCCTCATTTTTTTTTTATTCCTTTTTTTTTTCTTTTCAGCTTGGGTGATTTCCACCTCTCTGTCTTTCAGTTTGCTGATCTGTTCCCCTGTATCACCTAATCTACTGTTGATTCCTTCTAGTGTATTTTTCATTTAAGTTATTTTATTCTTCAGCTCCGTTTGGTTCTTCTTTATATTTTCTAAGTCTTTGTTAAACTTCTCACTGTGTTCATCCATTCTTCTCCCAAGTTTGTTGAGCATCTTTATGATGATTACCTTGAACTCTTTATCAGGTAGATTGCTTATCTCCACTTCACTTAGTTCTTCTTTGGGTGTTTTATCTTGTTTCTTCCTTTGTCACCTCATTTTGCCTAATTCTCTTTGTTATTTGTGTGGTATGTAACCTAGTGGTAGGTTGGTTACATTTCATAATCTTGGAGAAGTGGCCCTTTGTAGGAGTCATTCTGTGGGGCCCAGCAGCACACTCCCCTCTGGTCACCAGAACTATATGCTATAGGGATGCCCCCATGTGGGCTGAGTGGGCCCTCTGTTGTGTTGGGGCTGACTACTGTGGGTGCCCTGGTACACAGGGCTGGCCTCTGGTCCAGTTGGCTGCCAATCCCTACCTCCTACAGAAGCTACCAGCTGTTGGTGGGTGGGGCCACATCCTGGCACAGCTGGCTGCATGGCCTGGGGAGTCCTGGGGATGGTGCTGGCCCACTCTTGGGTGAGGCAGGGTCCTGGCAATTCTGGCTGCAGGCCCAGGGTGTCCCAGGTCAGCTGGCTGCAAGGCCCAGTGGGTCCTGGGGCTTGTGCCAGCCCACTGGTGTGTGGTGCAGGGACCTGGCATGCTGGCTGTGGGGCTTGGGGCTCCCAGTGCTGGTTCTGGCCTGCTAGTGGGTGGGGCCAGGCCCCTGTTCAGCCTGAGGGTGTCCCAGGACTAGGGATGACTGGCTGGTGGGCAGGTAAGCCCCAGCGCTAATAGGCTAGAGGGAGGACTCCAAAATGGTGCTTACCAGTACCAGTGTCCTCATGGTAGAATGAGCTCCCCAAAGTGGCTGCTGCCAGTGTCTATATCTCCAGGGGAGTTCCAGTTGCCTCCTGCCTATCCTGGAGGCTGTCCAAGGTCAGCAAGTGAGTCTGACCCAGGCTTCTTTCAGATTGTTGCCTCTGAGCTGGGACTTGGAGCGTCTGAGATTCTGTACCTGCCCTTCAAGAACGGAGTCTCTAATTCCTATAGCCCTCTGGCTCTCCTGAACGCAAGCCCTGCCTTCAGAGCTAGATGTTCTGGGAGCTTACCTTCCTGGTGCAGGACCCTAGGGTTGGGAAGCTTGAAATGGGTCTTGGACCCCTCACTCCTTGGGAAGAACCTCTGCAATTGTGATTATCCTCCTCTTTGTGGGTCACCTACCCGGGGATGTGGGTCTTGACTGTACCACAACTCCGCCACTCCTACCCTTCTTGTTCTGGTTCCTTCATTATATCCTTAGTTGTAGAAGGTCTTTTCTGCTAGTCTTCAGGTTGTTCTCATAGACAGTTGCTCTGTAAACAGTTGTAGTTTGGTGTGCCCTGTGGGAGGAGGTGAGCTTCCTACCCTGCCATCTTGGTGACCAGGAAATCATTTAGATCAGGATTTCTAAACTTTGGCAGAACTGACATTTGAACTGGGTGATTATTTTGTTGTGGGGGCTGTCCTATATATTGTAGGATGTATAGCAGCGTTCCGGGCTCCTGTCCACTAGGTGCCAGTAGTATCGCCCAGTTGTGACAACCCAAAATATCTGTGTTTTCAAACCCCCTCTTTCAGGGGCAGGGGACAAAATCCCTCCCACTTTGTTTGAGCACTGCTGTATTAGATCACCTTTAAGTTATGCATATATAATATTATGATAGAGATTATGTAAACTGGGACAGCTTTGGACATCTCAGGAGAAGGCTGTTAGAACACTTAGTGGAATGTTATAGAGGTGATCTTCTAATATTCTGTAATTCTTATAAATAAAATTTTCTTTAGCTCTCGTAAGAAAACAAAAAATGGAGAAAGGTCAGAAAGATTGGCAACATCAAGCTCTAGGCAGAGTGCGAGCTGCTAGCAAGTTGAGGGCAGTCACAGGAGTGAGAACAAACAGATGACAAAGGAGGCAGGATGGGATTTAGCTCTTGCTTTCACAGAAATGAATCTTAGCAGGGAAATGGTTGCCTTTCAAATGCGAGCCAGTGGCAACTTCGAGCTCAGTCCTGAGTGGAGGGCACAGTCTACCAGGGCCCCTGGTGGGGTTGCTGGGCTTCCTGGATGTATTGGAATTTGTAGAAATCTACATGGTTTCACAGTACCTATTGCCTTGCTTATAGTAATGGGAGGACAGTTGTTTTTCCAAATACTTTTGAGGGCAGGGGGAGGAAGGGTATGGTTTGCCTGAATAAATGTGTTCACTTTAGGCTCCTATTAGTTAAATGAGCAAGAAGAGAAAAGTATAGCAGCATTCCACCAGGTGGTGCTATATCTGACTCATTCACCAAACATGGCTGAATTAGGTTTTCTGTGACCCTGTCTCTCCCAGTGTATTTTCTCAGTCCTTTTGAAATAATGTGGATTGAGCTATACTTCAAATGAAAGATATCTGCTGGTTGAAAAAAAAATTCCATTCTAGTGTTAATCTCTACTTCTGACTCAAAATATATGCATTTCTATTCCAAGGATCTATCTTGACAACCAAGCTCAGGCACAGAAAGCGCTAGAACATATTGTGTTCATAGCAAAAGATTTCTCCCTTTTTTCAATGTTTTTTTTTTTTTTTTTTGGTACAGGGGCCTCTCACTGTTGTGGCCTCTCCTGTTGCAGAGCACAGGCTCCAGACGCGCAGGCTCAGCGGCCATGACTCACAGGCCTAGCCGCTCCACGGCATGTGGGATCTTCCCAGACCGGGGCACAAATCCGTGTCCCCTGCATCGGCAGGTGGACTCTCAACCACTGCGCCACCAGGGAAGCCCTACCTTTTTTCAATTTTAATTAATGCTATCGCCAGGCGATTTGATAACACTGCGACTGGCTGGTACCAGCAAAGCTGATATAAAAACTTTTTAACTTCAATTTCTTCAATACTCTGCTGACTTATCAGAGATGAATTTCATGCCTACCCTCATCAGCCTGGGATATAAAAAAGGCAGAGGTTAGGATATTAAAATGCTTTGCAGAGCTCTGAAATACAATGTGCTCCAGAAGACAGCCCTATTACCTGGAGGTCTGGTTACATGGCATTTAAACAGGGAACTTGGCCATGATACACCAGGACAACTGGATAGCCTGGCATCAAACTGAGAAGTTCTATATATTCAATATACTGTGATAAACCATAATGGAAATGAATATGAAAAAGAATTTTTATATATGTATAATTGAATCACTTTGCTGTATAGTAGAAATTAACACAACATTGTAAATCAACTATACTTCAATTAAAAAAACAAAACAAAAGAGAAGTTCTAAGGGCTCATTTAAGCAATTATCTCTTAACTGGCAAGTTGTGAGATTCACCATCTACTGAAATTTTTAATCCCTTGGGGAGAAAAAGGATACAAATATGTTTATCTTTTATAAATCTTCAGGTCTGTCTACCAGTATGCATGAGCCAAGAGAAAGAATTCCCCTTCAGCTGTTATAAGTAGGTTTTTTGGTTATTTTGCTTTGTTCTTTTTAAGGAAGAGGGACTATTATTGACCCTCAGCAGAGGTAGCCTTAATTGAATAGTAGCATACTAAGGGACCCTCAAGGAGGACGGGGCAGTAGTTAAAACAGTGGGTGGGGGTGGGGTGGGTCCATATCCTACTTAAAACATGGTCAGAAGAAAAAGACAAGTGACATGGTCTCAGGCGAAGGCAGAATGGAAATCAAAGATAGAAGTAAAGAAAATGGAAGGAAAACCTGCCCTCATGTGTTTATCATATACGTCTGTTTATCAATTAAAATATTAATAGCGCAACGATGCATATTTGTCATATATTTTCCATCAAAATAAAGGAGAGGAAGGGTGAGGACAGGTGGAATGGCCAGGACTTTGAGTTGCTAAAGCAAACACAAAGTTCCTCATCACAGGCTTGCCTAGGGCAGGCCCTGACCATAAAGTGTATTTTCTTTAGAACTCACCGAAAACAAATATTTCTTCCTTTTAGTATTTTAATACAAACATATTGGTAAAAATCCTTATCAAACAAATACAAACTATAACAACTGACTTAAAGATTTAAAGACATTGAGAAGCAGGATGGGGATGGTAGAGTGCACTAATGTACCTCAGAGACCTCCTAAAGGTCTGTATTTCCCTTATTCTAGAGAAGCACTTCCTAATTTGCCACATGTCCCTCCTTTGGCTGCTTTCTACCCCTCCCCACAAGTTAACATGTGTTGTGTGAAGAAAAAGAAAACCTCCTTAGTGAAACACATTTGGAAAACACTATACACTATATGCCCTTCTTAGAGATTTCTGGTGCACTTGGGCATATTTAAAGGGCATCAAAATATTTGAGAGGCTCTGGGAGAGGAGAATCCGTGTAACTGACTCAGCATTTCCCAAGTTTAAATCCCCATCCCCGTCCCTACCTTCACCCCCAGGAATACTCATTAGCATCTCACAGGCCTCTAGTCTCCTCTAGTAGAGTGTTTGGGAAATGCTATTCCATAGATACAAGTATTGTGTCTTCTTGCTACATTGAAAGGATTGTGAAGATTTACAAGACTTACCGAAAGGATCTACTTAATATCCTGAGAGTTCAGATTTTTGCTCAAATATGGCTTCTTGGTACAATTGTTTAGCTTTTGCCCTATCATTCTCCTAATTGAAACATCATCTGTGTTGGGAAATAATTGTTTTGTGATTCCTGTAAAAGCAACAACAAAACACAGAAAAACACTTTGTCAGAAGGATGTAGACTCACAGATGCAGAGAACAAACCAGTGGCTGCCAGTGGGAAGGGATGGGGGAGGGGCGATATTGGGTAGGGGGTAAGAGGTACAAACTACTATGTATAAGTTATAAGGATATATTGTACAACTGGCAATATAGCCAATATTTTATAAGTATAAATGGAACATAAACATTAAAAATTGTGAAATACTATATTGTACACCTGTAACTTATATAATACTATACATCAACTATACTTGAATAAAAATAAATTGATTAATTTTAAAAAACCACTTTATCAGGCCTTTGCATCTTAAGGTATGAACTGAAATAAAACACCAAGCAATTCACATTATAATTTTGTCTCTATTTTGAAAAAGCAGCCCAACACCCATGAGATATTTAAATAGATGAATCTGTAGGCAGATTTTTCAAAGCAAAGCAAGAGATAACAAAAGTCTATATCATAAACTGAGAGCATACGTATATGTCTTCCTATGGTACCATTCAGCTTTAACCTTGCTGCTTGCTCTGAACGCTAAGTGCCCTTGATCCAAAATGCTGGGAATTTATTTTTACCCATCCCAACATCAGTTGAAACAAGCAGATTCTGACTGACTCTTTTCCAACTAAGAAATGATGCACTATTAAAATATAGAGAGCTGTGATTCAGTGAGTCCTTAAATTTGTTGGATATTTGCAAAAAAATTACTTGATAATTTAAGGAGGTTAATAACCTTCTTATATTTAAGGAGGTTAATTAACTTAAAAACCATAAGTAGGATGGTTAAATTAACCTCTGTTTTTTTCTGAGTAAAAGATAAGGGATATTTCTAACCAAGATAAGAAAAAGAAAATAAGACATAAACTGTTACTAAAATTTTGTTGGAAAGGATTTTGAAATTTTACTTTTCTAAAGCTATGAATTTTATGAATCCAAACTTTTCAGTGATATAAAATTCATTTTTATTTTAATAACCATTTTTAATGTAAAGTTTTTATACAAAATTCCCCATATATCATAAGAGGTTTAGGCTATCCTCAGATTTTTCTCTCAGAGAAAAATAAACTTGAAGAATAAAAAGGATAATGAAAGAACAACTTAAAGTTGAATGGTAAAATAATTTCAGATTCATGTGACAATATAATACAAACACATTATCACCTATGATTTCTTGAACTTCATTCTGATTCATAGCTGGTTTCACTGCCTTGTCCCTTGAAGTAGAGGATTTTGCCCCCGTCAGGCTGTGTGTGGCCATGTACTCATTTGTGTAGAGCACTTGCATTAAATCATTAATAAACTTCTGAGGCTTGCTCTTGTTGCAACGGGCAATCTGCCATTTTTCAATCTTGAACTAAAAAATTAAAAATAATAATTGAAATAACTGAAAAAGGAAAGGAAAGGAATATCTGAGGAATATATTACTCATTGAATTAATACAGACCAGAAAACAAAACCAAGTCTTTAAGGTGATGTATGATACTTTTAATATATATTGTACATTTCAGGGGTTAGAGTTAGATGTTAACTTTGAGATAATTCCCAACATATATGAGGTATTTGTTCTAGAGTGTATACAAATTCTTGTCATGTAATCTGGATTTGGTGCTTTAAGGATTAATCCATACTTAACATTTCCTACTAAGCATGGTAGCATAATAATGGCCCACTGACAATATTCACATCGTTATCCCTGTAACCTTTGAATACGTTACCTTATATGGGAAAATCAACTTTGTACGTGTCATTAAAGTACCTTGAGATGGGGAAAATATGCTGAGTTATCCAGGTGGGTCCAGTCCAATCACATGAGCCTTTTTGTTTTTTTTTTTACACTTAAAATTTGTGTACTTTATTGCAGGTACGAATATGTATATTTACATACACATATAACTTTATGTTTATAAATATATACACACAGTATCTGGTACGTAGTAAGCACACCATAAATGTTAATAATAATAATGAAAATGGCTAACATTTATTGAGCACTCACATGAGCCCTTAACTGCAGAAGAGGGAGGCAGAAGGAAGACACAGAGGAAGGAGGAGAGAATAGAAGAGTGAGAGGGCTTTGCCTGCCCTGACTGGCTTTGAAGATGATGGAAGTGGACCGTGAACCAGGGAAGGGGGATGCCTCTAGAAGCAGGAATGGCCTTCAGTTTATAGTCGACAAGAAAACAGAAAACAGGGAACTCGGCTCTAGAACCATAAGAAACTGAGTTCTACAGCAACCCCCATGGACAGGAAACAGATTCTTCTCCAGAGCTTCCAAAAAGGAGAGTACCTGCCAACACCTTGATTTTACCGCATTTCTGACCTATAGAACTCTGAGGTGGTAAGTTTGTATTATTATAAATCACTAAGTTTGTGGGAATCTGTTACACAGCAAAGGAAACCGGTACACTAAGATTCAAATATTCTGAATGTTAGATAGTGAACATTTAATTACTGCTCTTGAAGGCATAATTTCCCAGACCGATTCTAACAAAACTTGTATTTTTAGCTTCTATTTCTTGATTAAGAGAAGTCGGGAAAGTGGAAGAATTGTGTTCTGCCAGCATGTACAGCCTAAAATTCACCTTGTCTCAATGATACAGTTTTATAACCTTTAACGCATAGTTGTCCTTCTGTCACTGGTTTAAGAATTTCCTAGTTTAATAACTTCATCGTTGTCCACCATTTGACTTTAATTTTCTGAACCGGATATTCATTTCACAAACATTAGATTTATTGTAAAAGACTGTTTTACGTAGTCAGAATATTATGATTGACCTAAAGTTAAATAAAGTGATCTGATAAGACAGTGATTATGTTGTACAGTAATTTTAATTTTGTATGTAACTGTATCCCAGAGAAAGATGCGATGGTCTTCCAGCTGACCTGTTTCTCATCCACGTGATGCTCCTCCTCAGCTTTCAAGGAAATTGGTGAACTGTAATTAGAATTAGAATTACTACATGTGGAGGCAAATGAATCTGGTGAGGAGTTATTTGTTGCTCTCCAGAGGGTGGACGCAGACGTGGACAGGGTTCCTCCACCCTTGAGCAGGGCCTCCGCCATACCAACCAATTCTTCAAACTGGGTGACGGCCTGTGGTAAAACTAAAATGGCAAGAAAAAGTAGTACTTTACAAATACTTGGCATAGCAGCATAGATACATATTTTCTATGATGTGTATATGCATAGAAGTATGTAGACCAAACTGTTAACACTTGCTATCTTTGGAAAATAAACATGGTAAGAAGAATGGTTGGAACATATTTACTTTTTTTTTTTTTTTTTGGCGGTATGCGGACCTCTCACTGTTGTGGCCTCTCCCGTTGCGGAGCACAGGCTCCGGACGCGCAGGCCCAGCGGCCATGGCTCACGGGCCTAGCCACTCCGCGGCATGTGGGATCTTCCCGGACCGGGACACGAACCCGTGTCCCCTGCATCGGCGGGCAGACTCTCAACCACTGCGCCACCAGGGAAGCCCTAACATAATGTTTTTAAGACTTGATTCTTTTTCTAATTGCTAATGATGTTATTTGAAGGTGTTTAAGGAGACATTACTGATTCTATCACCTTCCATCAGGCCAGTTTAAGTGACGAGATAAAATAAACCGTTTCTCACAGATTGAAATAAATTTTCTATGGCCTTAGTGCGTGATTTGCCAGGGAGTCAAAGGCCATCAAATTAGTAAAAATTCATGGCCACAGTTCAAATCTATGTGTTCACGTATTAAAGATGGATTTTGGTAATCAACTGAATGTTCTCTTTGTTCCTTTTTTTAAATGGAAACTTACACATTCAAAGCTTTCATACCTCCATGTTAAATGGTCTTCTCTTGTTATATCTAGTTTCTTTCCTAAGGACAAATAACATTTTGCTGGAGTTGGAAGACACCTTGAACCCTGTGTAATTCAACTCCTCACTCTATGGTTGGGGGTAATGCCTGCTGGAGTGGTGAAAAGACTCTGAAACTTTTTTGTACTTTTCTAAGCATATTATTGAGCTATATAATCTTTGGAATAATAGCTGATTGGAGACCTGAAAATCAGACATATTGATGACATGTCCAAATCAATACATTTAGTACTATGTTAATAGAAAAATTTAAAAATCTGCTAAAGAAGAAAATCTTATTTTATATTTTTTCAATTAATATTTGCTAAGCACCTCTCATGTGCCAGACAGTTGTTCAATCAGCAATTATTTATTGAGCACTTAATAATATTAGACATTTATCTAGCTTCTACTCTGTGCCAGGCACTATTCTGGGAACTTTACTGATGTTCATTTGTTTACTCCTCATCGCAACTCTCTGAGATAGGTATTATCACTACCTGCCATTTACAGATGAGGACAGTTAGGCAACGAGAGGTTAAATAACCCATCAGGGTCAACTCAGTGAAAAGAAGAGGCAACATTCAAATTCGGACTCTGCCAATTCCATGCTATAAACTTCTATGTCATGCCAACTCTCAACATTTGCCCACCACTCTGTTAGGTGCCAGGGATGAGACTGGGAGCAAAACCAGATGTGATCCTAGACTCTTGGAACTGGGAGAGGGTAGGGGGTATTGTTTACCTAACCATGCTGTGTGTAAAAATTTGGCCCGCTCAAAGAAGGTCGGGCCACCTGTCCTAACCGCCACCCACCACCCCCCAGTTCCTGAGAAGTAACCTCTCAACCCTTGAATTTCCCGAGCGATAGCAGGAGTGTCTTTGTTATTCATGGTGAGCCCCTTAGAACACACCTGATTTATGTTTATGCTAAGGAGTTTCTCAGGGTGGGGACAGTCACACCCAATAATCTTAGGGTAGAAGGTGGCCATAGCCAGAAAGCCAGAAAGACCATGTGGGCAATCAATCAGTGAATCAATCATGCTCACGTAATGAAGCCTCAGTAAAAACTTTGGACACCCAAGCTCAGAGAGCTTCCTGGGTGGACAATCCTCTGTGCATTTTCTTGTAACATATAAAGACTAGTAGGTAATATATCCTGAGGACAGAAGTTCCTCACTTGGAAACTAACCAGACTCTGCCCTATGTGTCTCTTCCAACTTTGCCTGGTTCTAATTTGTATTCTTTCCCTGTAATAAATGTAACCATGAATATAATAGGTTTTGGTGAATTAAATTTCTCTGGCAAATTACTGGACCTGAGGGTGGTTTTGGAAAACCCCTAAACTTGCAGTCAGTATCAGAAGCCTTAGAAGACTTGGCAGTCTAGAGGACTGTGCCCTTAACCTTGCGGTTTGGCTAACTCAAGGTGCATGCAAAGAAGTAAAAATCACAGTTGTTAAGGTCACAGAGGAGAGGCAAACAGCCTAGAGAGGGAAGGGCCACAGAGGGCTTCTCTTAGGAGGTCAAGATTGATCTGAAACCTGAAGGCTGAGCAGGAATTAAATAGCCGGAGGGAATGAGGAGGTCATCAGAAGCATAGGAAACATAAGTTCTGTATCTGAGGAACTGAAAGAAGGCCAAAGCTGGAATGTAAAGAGAAAAAGGGAATTCTGCATTAAAGTGGGGTTTAAAGAATATTCACTGTTTTTTCTAATAATGAAAGTTATACATGTTCATTGGAATATATCCTTCTTGCCATTTCTATTTTTGTATATCTATATCTATATTCATGTATTTTCTTTTACATAATTAGGACAATGCTATATGCATAGCATTGTATCATGGTTCTTTTTTCCAATTAAGACCATAAATTGAATATCTTACCTATTTTATTAAATCTTGGAAAATATGATCTTTTGAGGTCTAATTTGCTTAGAATCAAAGTCAAGATCTTATGTGAAGTCTGAGCAGAATTTAAGTAGGTAGAGGGGGATGAGTTTGACAAAAGGATATACCCAATTAGCTCACACTAATATGTTCGAGATATAGAACATTTCTATCCACCCAGAAATTTGCCTCATGTTCCTTCCAAATCAGTCCCTGGACTCACCTCAGGGGAAACCATTAATGTGACTTCTTTAGTCAGAGACACGTTTTACCTGTTCTAGAATTCCATATAAACGGATACAAACAGTATATTCTCCGTTTTTTGGTCTGACTTTTTTGTTGTTGTTGTTCTGCATTAATGTTTTGAGATTCATTCATGTTGTTGTGTCAGTCATTCTTTTTTCAGGAGGATGAATATTATTTTTATTTTTTATTGAAGTATAGTTGATTTACAATGTTTCAGGTGTATAGCAAAGTGATTCAGGTATGTATATTTATATATATATATATATATATATTCTTTTTTGTTGCTGAGTGATATTTCATTACATGGATACTCCACAATTAAAGTATCCATTCATCTGCTGATGGGTTATTTTCCACTTGAACACACGACTTTAAGGATTCCCTAATATCTCAAGGTATTGATGTCCTCTAATTTATCCAAATGCTCCTTTTATTCTTTTTGGAATTTAGGTTGCTTCCAATTTTTCTTGATTACAGACAAAACTCTTATGAACCACCTACCACACACATCTTTATATGCATCTCTGATCGTGTCAATGCTATAAATTCCTGAAAGCGTAACAACAGGCTCAGAGGTATAAATGTTTCCAAGACTCAGTTAATGTCATTGAATGGCTCTCTAAAAAGAGTCTTCCAACTTAAATGCCCACTAGCAAGGTAAGAAGTCAGCCACATCACTGCACCATCAACAAGAGGTGTTCATTATTAACAACAATATTCACTATTTTGATAGGTTAAAATTTTAGTATAATTATTTAAATTGTAGTTATTGCAATTATTTGATTATTGTGAAGTTGAATACATATTTATTTGTTTATTGATTATTTGAACTTATTCTGTGAGATACCTATTAGACCAAAGAATGTTAGTACTTTTTAAATTTTATGATAGCTTAGATGGTTTTTGTAAAGTGCTTATAGGAATGCCTAGTGCATTATAAACACAATGTATTAGCTATTGTTATTAATTCCCTTATATCTTAAGCACTTTAACCTTTAATTTGTCATAAGTTGCAATTATTTTTCTTAGAGTATTTTAATTTTAGTATGTTTTAAATGTACACACTTACAAAACAGATAACTAATAACAACCTGCTGTATAAAATAAATAAATAAAATAAAATTTTTTAAAAAGCACACACATGTTTTTAGTTTTTACTTAATTAAAAGTAGCAGTCTTATGGAAGCAAACTAAGTGTCCATCGACAGACGAATGGATAAAGAAGATGTGGCACATATATACAATGGAATATTACTCAGCCATAAAAAGAAACGAAATTGAGTTATTTGTAGTGAGGTGGATGGACCTAAAGTCTGTCATACAGAGTGAAGTAAGTCAGAAAGAGAAAAACAAATACCGTATGCTAACACATATATATGGAATCTAAAAACAAAACTGGTCATGAAGAACCTAGGGGCAGGATGGGAATAAAGACACAGACCTACTAGAGAATGGACTTGAGGACACGGGAAGGGGGAAGGGTAAGCTGGGACAAAGAGAGTGGCATGGAAATGTATACACTACCAAATGTAAAACCGATAACTAGTGGGAAGAAGCTGCATAGCACAGGGAGATCAGCTCGGTGCTTTGTGACCACCTAGAGGGGTGGGATAGGGAGGGTGGGAGGGAGGGAGATGCAAGAGGGAAGAGATAGGGGGATATATGTATATGTATAGCTCATTCACTTTGTTATAAAGCGGAAACTAACACACCATTGTAAAGCAATTATAATCCAATAAAGATGTTAAAAAAAAAAGTAGCAGTCTTTTCCTTAGTTCTTTTCCTTAGTTCATTCATTTACTTTATACTTAGCAAGTCATTCAGATCAGTTAAATATTCACTCATATATTTCATACAGTTTAAACATCTTTTCACAAGTAAGTTTTTTTTCTCCCTGGATATATTTTTTTCTAAATTTAATGTAAAAATTTAAACACACACACAAAATAGTAAACTCCCATGTACCCCATGCCCTAGTTTCCGACTCATGGCCAATCTTGTTCCACCTGTATCCCCACCCACTTTCTTCCCACCTCCAAAATTACTTCAAGCAAATCACAGGCATCATTTCATTTTATCTGTAAATATTTCCGTGTATATCTCCAAAGGTAAGAAATTTAAAAATATATATATATATAAT